TTCCAATAGGACATTTTGCATGGAAAAAAAATTGGTTGTAGTAACCTTTTAATGTATTTTCCACCAGCCATGGGCTAACTACACCTGCAATAGAAATTTAAGCTTGGTAAAAATATATATTTCTAAATGACCACCCTTGCTCAATAGAGAGGACTTTAGCATAGCAGTAATTATTTTACATTTTAATTTCAACATCTTATTGTTAAAAATTACTGGAAATCGCCTTGGGAATCGTGTTTGGTGCATGCTTTACTGATATGATGCAAGACAGGGAACATACCTATGTAGACGCTTCCTTTCGTGTTCACCATTATGTTTTTACCCGGAGAACTACCAGAAACAAGCTCTTCTCCATCAACCTGTATGGAACCAGCCTTCCCTTCCCTAAAAACAGGACCACAGACCATCAGATTAAATACAGCATGCATTTATTCAGCAACATGCCCTCTGACTATTAGGAAAATCATATCGTTTGTGGATAAATGCAGTCTTTACTTCCTACTTAAATACAGAGGAGACATGTGAATCTGACTTATCAGGAGGGATCCATTTCCCGCCCCCATTACTCCAAAGAGCAGGATTTCAAGATAAATCATCATTTATTAATATTTATAAAGCGCCAACAAATTCCTAGGCGCTGTACAATGGGTAGACTAAAAGACAAATATTCATAACCAGATGAGTTAGATGCACAGGAACAGAGGGTTGCGGGCCCAGCTCGAATGAGCTTACATTCAATTTCACTCAATCCATCAAATGCAAAAACACTGTTTTAGAACAGTGTATTTCTTACCGAACAGCAATAATTTTGTGCCATTCTCCATCGTTGACAGGATCGTCTGACATGATGTTAGCCTCACCACTGCCAAGCTGGTAACTGTTATGAATGGGAACATACAGAGTTAAAAGAGAGAGCCATAGGCATTTCTACATTAATGTTATACACAGGAAATCTAGACAAGTCCTTTATATGATATATATTATCTTTTACCTGAATACGAGATGGCCATCCTTCAACCCCAGGCTGATAAAATCTTTCCCTCTGCCTGGTTCGTGCTCTTCCTGTAAAATAAATTAGATGAACCAGTGGACATAAAAAGTTGGATACTGATTTGAAGACAAAGTCTAAATGGGCAATTTAAAAGAACTGACAAAATTAAGGTAAATTTAGTCTAAAAGTTATTTAAGCATGAACATCCCTTTTTTGTGAACATTACCATTTACAGTTCAGGTCAGATATGGTTTACCTGTTTAAATGCATTATACAGATAATGTAGAGAAATAAAAAGGATACAGACATGTAGAATTCCTACTCTTGGTGCAAATCTCTAGGCTTTGCAGTTTCTGTAAGATGTGGCTCAGTATGGCTTAAAGGGACACTATAGTCACCAGAACAACTACAGGTTATTGCATTTGTTCTGGTGAGTATAATCAGACCCTTCAGGCTTTTTGCTGTAAACACTGTCTTTTCAGAGAAAATGCAGTGTTTACATTACAGCCTAGTGATAACTTCACTGGCCACTCCTTAGATGGCGGCTAAAGCTGCTTCCTTGGGCAGTGCTGCAGAGTACTGCCTGCATTGGGATTGGCTCAGACGACCACTTCTGATTATGTCAGCAGACACAGGCAGTTTCAGAGGCAAACAGGGGCAGAGGTAGCAGCTACATACTTGAATACAAGTAAGATTTTACTATATTAAGGGAGGCAAGAGGGGCTAGATGTTGGTTTTAACACTATAGGGTCAGGAATATATGTTTGTGTTCCTAACCCTATGTGCTCCTTTAACATTTCTAATAAGACATTGCATAGAGTAACATTTAGATAAAGTTGTCACCTTTCCACTGTAGAAAGCTAAACTTCAAGTGACGGAAACATTTGCTGTGCAGCCTTTAAGGGTAATACTAGACATGTGCAATTCGTTTCGGTCCGAAAGTGAATTCGGACGAATTTCGGGCAATTTAGAAAATTCGGGTACTTCCGAATGTCCCAATTGTTGAAGTTCCGAAATTACCGAATTTCCAAAGTGTCGAAGTTCCGAAGCACAGTATTGCCTAAGAACTAATATACTTACCCAGTGGCAAAATTAAGAATGTTACACTGTATACAATTTTAAATAAAAAGTATACAGACATAGCCAGGATTCAGCTGTAAGCATTTGCAACACTTACAACAATCAAGTAACATACATTCATATAAAATGTAAGTAGTCAGTGTAATGACAGGAATGAATAAGTAGATAACTCCCTAATTCCCACAGTAAATGTACAGTCAGTGTAATGACAGGAATGAATAAGTAGATAACTCCGTAATTCCCACGGTAAATGTACAGTCAGTGTAATGACAGGAATGAATAAGTAGATAACTCCCTAATTCCCACGGTATTAGGGAGCTATCTAATAAAAGGCTGAAAGACCTAAATTGATGTCTTTCAGCCAAATTTACTAATACTAATTAGAGAGTACTTAGTATTAGTAAATTAAGCCCCTACTCACTATACTGCGAGTAGGGGCATGTCTATTAAAGAGTGAGCAGCCTATGGCTCACTTAAAAAAAAAAAAAAAAGGTCCTCCCCCCAGCCCCTACCCCTGAGCGGTGGGTGGGGGCCCTAAATACTAATAAGGGGGGGGACACCTAATGTCCTCCCCCCTGGCCCCCACCCCTAAGCGGCGGGTGGGGGCCCTAAATTGGAATAAGGGGGGGAACCTAATGTCCTCTCCCCTGAGCGGCGGGTGGGGGCCCTAAATACTAATAAGGGGGGGACCTAATGTCCTCCCCCCTGAGCGGTGGGTGGGGGCCCTAAATACTAATAAGGGGGGGACCTAATGTCCTCCCCCCTGGCCCCCACCCCTGAGTGGCTGGTGGGGGCCCTAAATACCAATAGGGGGAGGAACCTATTGTCCTCCCCCCGGCCCCCACCCCTGAGCGGCGGGTGGGGGCCATAAATAAAAATGTTACCCCCCACCCCCAGGTGACTAGGAGTCCCCAAACCCCTAGTCACCCCCTCCACCCTCCCCCCCCCCAAAAAAATTTACCCCTACCTACCCCCCTCACCCTAAAAATAATGAGGGAGGACCTGTAAAAAAAGTAAAACTTACCGTTTGATGTTTTCTTTCTTCTGAAATCTTTTTTTTAGCCCCAAAAAAGGCCAAATAAAAAGCCATAATAACCGACGAAAAAAAAAAAAAGCGCAAAAAAATTATAATCCATCTTCACTCATGGAGGGCTCAGCGCAGACTGAGCACTGCAGGGCTAAATGAAGAGACCAATCAGAGTGCTCTGAGCCTAATTGCAGGGCGGGGCAAGGCGGTTATTATGGATTTTTTATTTGGCCTTTTTTGGGGCTGAAAAAAGAAGATTTTAGAAGAAAGAAAACATTGAATGGTAAGTTTTATTTTTTTTAAAGGTACTTAGTTAAAGGTCCCCCCTCATCATTTTAGGGTGAGGGGGATAGGTAGGGGTTAATTTATTTTTTTTGGGGGGTGACTAGGGGTTTGGGGACCCCTAGTCACCCGGGGGGTAAAATTTTTATTTAGGGCTCAGGGGCCGAGGGGCGGAGGACAATAGGTCCCCCCCCCCAGGGGCGGACTGACCACTCGGGCACTTCGGTCATGGACCGAGGGCCCGAGGCAGTCAGGGGCCCGGCCGCACAGCCATGCTCCAGCTGGAGAGATCAGAGATCTCTCCAGCTGGAACGGCAAAATAATAAAATAAAACTTTTTAATTGATAGGTTGTGGGGCCCCTGATGCAGCGCGGGGCCCCACAACCTACCGTTTTGCTAGTCACCCCCCCCTCACCCCATGGAGACCTGGCAGCTTCAGCCACTCTCTGCCAGGTCTCCTGCTTCCTCTCCCATGCGGCTCTGTGTGATGGGAGAGGCCAGGAAGTGACATCACTTCCTGTTTACTCCTCTCACACAGAGCCGAGAAGGAGAAGGAGCAGCAGCCGGGGAGAGAAGAGGGAGCAGAGATGCAGGTAGGCACCAATCACCCCCCTCCCCCCCCTCACTATCACCAGTCACCCCCCTCACTGTCACCAGTCACCCCCCCTCACTGTCACCAGTCACCCCCCTCACTGTCACTAGTCCCCCCACTGTCACTAGTCACCCATCCTCACTGTCACCCCCCCTCACTCTGTCACTGGTCACCCATTCCCTCCCTCACTCTGTCACTAATCATCCCCT